CCATGTTCGGGCTTGTGCTATTGTCTATTGTGTGCATGTAATGCTCATGTCATAGTTATTGTCTTCCAATCTCAATTAAAACTTATTTGCTTGTCATTTTGATACAATAAACAGCATCAGGCAGGTCTATTTTGGATGATAAACTAATGGCAAAATTATCTTCTGCTTCCTAGTCATATCATAGTCACTAGTATTCGGGTGATGATACAGAAGCATATTTGTGTACATAAATGGCCTCAATAATGTTTCCTGCATATCATTTATACACATATGAATCCATTCTTTAATATATATTTTTTGTTATAACCTCTTAAGTGTTTACATATTAGGTAATCTAATGGAAGAATTTGGTATTTATATATGAAACTGCAATTTTTATTTATAGTAGCCTACGGGCGGATGAGTATGGAAAAGTTTCGTGAGGTTCACGAAAGTTTGCGATCTCTCGGCCTTCACAATAAGGTAAGAGAAGGTTAGACTAACAATAAAATCTTTCTTCAAACAAGTAAATTGGTCAGAGGAAAGAATTTCTTTTAGATATTCAATATTTATTTCAAAAACTATCAGAAAGTTTTGTGGTTTAAAAAAAATGCAACACAAACTTTACGTATACTTGACTCCAAAAAGGTTTTATCAACCAAGTGTGACTTCAGCCTAGACCTTATTTTGGCCTTATCAGCATCCCCAACAAGATTAAAAGCCCGATTTTTCATAGGTCACTTTCATGGCAGGCCAGATCCCTCGTAATTTACACCTATGATGGGATTTTCGTAAATAAGATTAACCTATACTTGTCACTAAAATCAACATAATTACATAAATTCTGATTTAGTAGGTGTTAAAATTATTTATTTATTTCACTTTGGGAAATTCAGCTAAGACCTAAGATGACGCATGCTCATCTTCTGAATAATTTGATGGTAGAATATCATGATGTGGTAATTTGTAATGGCAACTATTCGTTTGCCGTCTCGACTACAATTGCAACATGTGAATTGACATTCAAGGCTGTGTGGTTGATTTGTTGCGATGACTATTTGAATCTCGTTGGGGACGAGGCATTCAGCTGAATCCACCCTGGATGAGAAGGACAGATGTGGCAAGATTAATCTCATTTAAATAACATCACAAAGCCTACAATTCTTGCATTGTGAGAATTTGAACTATTTGACCCAAATCTTTACAAACGACCGAAGTTTGCTCAAGTACTTAATTGGTATTTGGGCGTCATCTGCAAAAAAATGGTGGCTCTGCTTGCAGGTAGAATAGAGCAATCAGATGACTACTCCATTTTATGCTTTCTTAGTGCCACCATATTCCACAATTCAGCATTTGCGCCATCTTTAGCGTCCACATAACAATATCTAATGAATGCATCAAAATCCCTATTGCAAGTCGCTTTTTTGTCATTTACATCTATATTTATGTCATCTCTTGCCCACAGGAGCTAAGCTACTTCTATCGAATTCTTGCTGCCATTCTTCACATGGGCAATCTGACTTTCGGCGTTGGCCAAGAGGAGGTCATTCTGACTGATTCTCTAATTGACAACGTTGAGCGAAGCTGCTTAAGTGATGTAAAGGAGCCACTTCCATGTCGACCCAGGAGAAAATATGCTGATAAATCAGATCGTAATAGTGTCAATTGTTTAGTCACACAATCCAATGGACATTCTCGCCAACACTGCAGTCAGCGGCACAAACGATTTCACCAATGCAGCTGCCGTGCCTACCTACGCCATTCCACAGAACACCGAAAACGCCCAGCCACTCCGATTGTACATTTTATTCCAACCTCTAGTCTTCCATCACCGGTAGATCTTTCTACCGGCTATTCCGTCTCTGATGCCTATTCCCGGCTGGAGTGTGCCGGGCCTTCACTGAATACAATTTCCTATTCTGTGGCCGCCATCACCAACCTCAATACATCCAGTTTTTGCCGGAATCAGAAGCAGATTGGCGAGGTTGAAAGGGTTGTTGAGGCAAAAGCGAATAAACTTAATTGGCACAGCGATAGTCTGAAAGCAGGCATTATCAAGAGGACGAGCGAAATGACACTTGCACAGAATTCTACAGTTAAGCCGGAAATTTGTCTACAAGAAGCAAAAGTCTCGGCTGAAAAGAGCGAGGTTCTTGACCTAGGGCTAAAATACCAGACCCCGAACCTTCCAAGTAAGCGTCTGGTCAAGCC